AACACAGCATGGTGGCACATCAGAAATGTGGATCCATGGGACAGAATAGTGAAGCAGAAACTACCCCAGACACATTCAACTATTTGGTCTTTGGCAAAGAGGCCAAACACATACACTGGAAGAAAGGTAGCCTTTTTAGTAAATGATGCTGGAAGAATTGGATATTCACATGCAGAAGATTAAGTCTAGCCCTTATATCTCACGATGTACTAAACTAAAATCTAAATGGATGAAAGACAGATATTAAAATAATCTGCTGGAAGATTAAATAGATAAAACTTGGGAGATATAGATGTTGGCAAGGACTTTCTGAACAGAACCCCAGTGGCATAAGAAATAATACTGCGAATCAACAAATGAAATCTGTCTTAAGTTATTTTTCTCATTGCTGGAACAAAATACCTAAAACCCACAACTTAAAGAAGGAAAGGTTTGTTTTGGCTCATAGTTCTTAGAGGTTTCAGTCCATAGTTAGCTGTCTCTAAGGCAGAGTGGCATCACAGAGGAGAAGCAATCCACGCAGAATAGGCTGGAGGCAGCAAGCAGTGAGGCAAGTTTCCCTTTCTTTTTTATCCCATTCAGGACACAAGCCTTTTGGGTGGTACCACACCCAGATCTATGCTAAACCAATTTATTTATCACATACCCTTAATCCCAGTATCACACACTCAAGTCTAGCATCACACATCCCAATCCAGCCACCTGCCAAAAGCCCCACGTATGAGTGCAGGAGGCTGTAGGGGGACGTTTAGATACAAACCATAACAGGATCATATCAAATTAAAAAGCTTCTGCACATCAAGGGAAACAACCAACAGAGAGAAGAGACAACCTACCAAATGGGAAAAAAATATTTGCTAGCTATTCCTCAGACAGAGGACAAACATCTAAAAAAAAAGAACTCAAGAACTGACTGCCTGGCTTTTGCCAGTCTTATGAGTCCCTGGGCCATGTGTGTTCATTCCCTCCTCAGCTTCAGGATAATCAGCGAAGAAGATCCACTACTCATTCTTCTCTCTTAAGTCCCACCAGGAAATGACAGCCTTTAGCCTTGAGCTAATGGACCTGGGTACTGGCATGGCAGCTGTAGCTCAGAATGACGATGTGGCAACTAGCCCTGCCATGAGGGCCTGGACTAGGTAGAATGAGCCCAGCATGCTGCCCTCCTTGCTACTGAGGAAGCATTTTTTGACAGTAGTTTGAACTCTGGGCAGCTGACCTGCATCCAGAGAAACAAGACCATGGTGCTGCTCAGCCACTCTTGCAATGTGCCTGTGGGCTTTAGGAACGGCTGGAAGAGGCACCTTAGTGAAGAGAGCAAATGCTTTATAAGGCTATTAAAGTTCTGAGATCTCAATATGAGATCCATGTTGAAAAGTAGTAGACTGACATCACAGTCAGTCTTCAGTTTTGATAGTGGCCCTTGGTGAGCCTGGAGAAATAACTACTTGGTAATTCAGCTTTTTCCTCTACCAGTTAAGTGAATATTACTTTATACCTCAAAAAAAAATTTCAAGTGTTTATGAATAAGTAGCACCTGTAGTCAGATTTCCCTGATTATTTTCAAAGTGGGGCATCTGTGGGCTTATAAAGCTGAAAGAATGCATAGTTTTAATTGTCTTGTAAACCATTTGGTTCAAAATCCACCTACCTGCCTGGTGATTAGCAATTTTGACCAGTTGAATGAAATGAATCCCAGAGTAACTAATAAGTTACTAGTAAGTTTTGTTGTTGTTGTTGTTACTTTTGGTTTTTCCAGTGTTAAGCATTGAACCCAGGGCCTCACATGTGCAAGGCAAACATTCTACCATGGTGCTACACCTTAGCCCAAGTCTGGATTTTGACAATCTATGATGTCATGTATCCACCATTTTAGTATCATTCAAAATAGTGTCACTGTTCTAAAAACCCTTGATTCTCTGCTACTATATCCCTCCCTCCCTCTAGCACCTGGAAACAGATCTTATTTCCTCTATGATTTTGCCTTTTCTAAAATACCATGTAATTGGAATTGTATACTATCTAGTCTTTTCACATTGGATTGTTTCACACAGTATATGCATTTAAGCTTCTGTGTATTTTCATGGCTTGATAGATTTTTTAAAACTGATGAATAGTATTCTGTTATTTTGGTGTTTATTCATTTATGAAACAAATCTTGCCAAATATGGCTAGAGCTTCTATAAACATCCATGTACAGGTTTTTTGTGTTGATGAAAGTTTTCAGTTTATTTGGGTTCATACCAAGGAGCAAGATTATTAGATTGCTAGATTGTAAGAACATGTTTAGTTTTATTTAAAAAAAAAAAAAACTGCCAGGCCGGGGGTTTGTTTCAGTGGTTCCGCCGCCTGCTTCATAAGCTCAAGGTCCTGAGTTCAATCCCCGGTACCAAAAAAAAATACTGAACATGTAGAACAGCAGAAAATTTACTGTAGCAGACAGATTGGCAGTTTTTGTTTTTGTTTTTTTGTACCAGGGATCAAACTCGCGACCTTGAGCTTGTGAGGCAGACAGTGGAACCAGTGAGACATCCCCACCCATGTTCACTATTTTTGATTAACTGTCCTTTTATGACTAGGTTTTATGTAAATATTTTCTGCCAGGCTGTGGCTTATTTCTCATTTTTTGAAAATATCTTTTGCTTTTTTGTTTGTTTTGTTTTGTTTTTTGTTTTTTGAGACAGGGTCTCACTGTGTAGTTGAGACTGACCCGGAACTCATTATGTAGCCCAGAGTGGTCTTGAACTCACAGCGATCCTCTTGCTTCAGGCTCCCGAGTGTTGGATTATAGGCGTGTGCCATCAGGCCTGGCTCCTTTTGCTTTTAATTTGATTTTTTTGTTTGTTTGTTTTTTGGTACCAGGGATCGGAACTTGGGTCCTTGTGCTTGTAAGACAGGTGGTGGAACCACTGAGCTAAATCCTTTGCCCTGAAGCTTTTAATTTTAATAAAGTCTAGCTTATCAATTATTTCTTTCACAGATTATATCTTTTTTTGTTATATTTTAAAAATTGCTGAGTGTGGTGGCACATGCCTGTAATCCTAACATTCTGGGAGACTGAGGCAGGAGGAGTGCAAGTTTGAGCCCAGCCTGCCAATTTAGTAACTTAGTGAGACCCTCTCTCCAGAAAGGTGGTGGGGCGAGGACTGGGGATGTGTGAAGGGCCTAGGTTCAGTCCCCAGTACTGGGGAAAAAAAAAAAGTTGTCACTATACCCTAGGTCATATAGATGTACCACTGTGTTATCATGCGGGAATTTTATAGTTTTTCATTTTATATTAGGTTTATGACCCATTTAGAATTAATGTTTACAAAAGGTGTAAAGTCTGTATCTCCATGCATTTTTATATATATAGATACTCACTTATCCCAGCATTATATATTGAAAAGACTGTTTTTTGACTGCATTATCCATGCTTCTTTTTCAAAGATCAGTTCACTAGTATGTATGTTGGTCTATTTCTGGGCTCTTTGTTTTGTTTCATTGATCTTTTTACCTTTTTTTGTTAGAAGAAATCATTGTATAAAATAATAATGAGAAAGAGGTCATATGGATTGTAGATAATAAGATAGTCCCACTTGAAATGCTTAAGAAAGAAGGTAAAGGTCTTGGTACCAAGAGGCACTCAATGACCTTTTTTTGTTTTTGTTTTATTGAGACAGAGTCTCACTGTGTAGTTCAGACTGCTCTGGAACTCACTGTGTAGCCCCGGTTGATTTGAGACTTTAGATCACCCACCTTTATTTATTTCAGTGAGACCACGTAGGGTATTGAATAAGAATGTAGGTTCTAGAGCCTGGGGTTGTTTTTTTTTTTAAATCTTAATGAGTTTAGTGGTACTTTTTAAATATACAGCACAGTTACATTCATCACTGGGATCTTGTACCCTTACATGACAGATCTTGGTTCTCATTTTTTTCCCCATACTGACTTCTTTTTCCCCCTTTTCTGGGACCTGGGATCAAACTCAGGACCTTGCACTTGTGAGATGGGCACACTGCCACTGAGCTAAATCCCAGTCCTCTGGCTTTTTTTTCTTTTTTTTCCTTTTGGTACCAGGGATGGAATTTGGGACCTTGTACTTGCGAGGCAGGTGGTGGCACCACTGAGCTAAATCCCTGTTCCTCTGGCTTTTTTTTTTTTTTTTTTTTTTTGTTTTT